GCTATGCATCATTTATGTTTTTCTTCTCTCAGTACTCTCAAGGCCTGTTGACACCAAGACGAATGTTTGGTGTGTAAATGCAGCGCAATAAACATTTTAAATTTGAATGGACAGGGCTGCTTTTCCCAGAGGACGTTAGAGAAATTTGTACTTTGATGTACTTCGCAATTTTAATCCTATCCGAATCTGCCAAGTCTGTTTTTCTCACAAAACCTCTGTACAAATTCCAGAGCAAATTACCTAATGGTTTTCTGTAAACTCATCTAATTCTGTCTGAATGCGAATGTCTTGTGATTGCTGATTGCTCTTGTGATTGTTTTTTTTTTGTTTTTTGACTTACCTGAGCTACTGTTTACGCACCAATCTTGCACCTTTCAAAATTGATGGTATCCAACAAAAATATAAAGTAATAAAATCAATAAGGAGAAACTAATTGTGGAAGCTGCAAATACTGGCCATTTTAACATTAGCATCAGGTAAAGTCTAGATTTTTCTGCTGTTTTATCGTAAGCAGCCACTTCTAGAAACACATTTATTTATAATAAAGTTGCATCAATAAATAATAAATAAAAAAGGCCAACTGATAAAATTAGCGCTTTTGATCACATGCACAGAACTGCTGCTGTTATATAAAACTATGGCTTCCGAATATGCCTACTCTCCGACTATATAGTAAGTGAAAAGAGAAAACGCCAAAAGAGAATTTTGTCCAAATTCACAGCATTCAAAAAACAGAAGGTAAAAATTACCCGGATGACCTACTACTTCTGGTGAGATTCTTAAGTGTGTATCAAATGGACATTTTACTCTCATGAGACCACGAGAGAGGAGCTGTGGATAGAAATCAAGCAACGCAACGTCACATGACAACATGGGATATGTAGCATGTGCATTTATTTTTATTTCTTTCTTTTTTTAACTGTTGTAAATTAAGATTCAAACCAACTGTAGGACCCTTATAGATTGTATGCAATTTTGGATACGGCTTTGGAGGTGCCAGTTTTCCTCAGTGCGATGGAAAATAGATTAGAACACCTCTTTGTAAAAAATTAATAAGGTTGAATTTAAGGCATGCAAATGTTTGTCTGAACATTAACAGAGTGTTCGTTCAATTTAAAATGTCAGAATCTTGAACAGACAAATTGCCTATGAAAATCGGACCTAATTTTCATTGAACATTTGTGTTGGTGTTAACAGGCCTCGAGGCTGCAATAAAACATGTCCACTCTCTAATCTGCAAGCTTCCAAACTGTTAAACAGATCAATACAAATCTCAAAAGTGCAAATGTGATAAACACCAGCAAAGCCATTATCGTAGAACATCATTCCCTGAATAACTGGGCAGGATTTAATAACTGATGGCAAAGGAAGAGTAAGCAGATGTGACTTGCTTTAGACTACAGCTGGTCTGTTTGTTATGGCCTCAAAGGGAACAGCAGCACAGAAGACCCCAAAAGCTTTTGTACAAACATGTCCACACCCTCAAATTCCCACACACCAACTCTCTTACATGAAAAAATAATGACAAATCCCCATGTTTGGGGTGCTTTTTATATTCCTTTTCACTTCAGGCCTCAAATACATCCCTATGTGATGACATGTATAGAGGAGTGGAGCCGAGCAGCCTCTGTTGTGTTTTGCAATCGATCCTTCCGGCAGGCTACAGTCCTCCCACGGGCAGCAACGAGCCAGCATGAGCAGCCAGCGTGATTAGCATCATGGGACGGCAGAGCTCAGAAAAACAAACCCATTGTGGAGCTCTCTGAGCTTATGGCGTGTCCACCCACAGCAAGCTGGGGGGAAAAAGAGGGTAGAATCCAGTCAGATTTCTAATTGGTTGTGTTGATTTTGCTGGTGTGAGAGAGAGCAGTAAAGGTGAATGTATGGGGTTTGTGGGAGGAGAGGGGCTGGAGTGTTACACTTTATAAATAAATGATGAGCTGTTCTTCAAGCCTGATTACTTCCCCCATCCCCTTTCTACCCCAGCCAGCCCTGCACCCCCATCCCACCATGCTTTAATGGAAAAATGTGACTGATGCCCCCATTGACCCATGAGGAAGAGCTGGAAAGTCCGGCATAAATCATTAGACTGCTATATTTAAATTATTTAAAAGAGTCTGGCCTTTTATTTTGTAAGCTACACATTTTGCTGAAGATTTGTATCGGACTTGCCCATAATGCCGTTGCTATCTTGTAAACCAGGGGTCTCCAAACTCGGTCCTGGAGGGCTGCTGTCCTGCAGAGTTTAGCTCCAGCTTGCCACAACACACCTACCTTGAAGTTTCTAGCATGCTAAGACCTTGATTAACTGGTTCAGGTATGTTTGATAAGGGTTGGGCCTAAACTCCAGGACCGAGTTTGGAGACCCCTGTTGTAAACAAATGATTAACTGCTTTACAAATGATTAACTTCACTTCAAACATAACCTCCAAACCTGTTTTGATAATCAAAAACAAGGTCTAGGCAAATGATCCAAAGTCAAAGACAAACACGGTCCTTGTAATCACACACAAGTAGTTGATGCTTCTTTTTAACAACCGTGACAATTATTTATGCTTAATAATGGTACTTAGTAACATGTCAGTCATGTAGTTTGCCATGGAAATGTGGATGTTTTCTGTGTGCACATAGAATTTACCCATTCATGCATGAAAAATTTATGAAGGCACATGCTAAAGTCTCAAAAGCTAAAAGGTGATTCTCAACCTTTTTGACTCCATTACAATATTCAAAGGCCCCATGACTTTTCCAGTTGTTTGTGATTTAGTGGATAATGATTAGGTTCTTATAAAATATTTTTACTTACAATTTCTACTTGATAACAGATTTCAGAGTTTGAAATAACTAGATAAAAATACATTTATAAACAGTACAAAAATGCCCGTGGACTTATAACATTTTTATTAAAGAGGTGGTTCACTGTTTTTTTTTCTAGGCTTGATTGTGTTTATGGGGTGCGGTCTAACATGAGTTAATGCTTTGATAAAAAAAAAACGCATTATTTCTCACATAATTTACCTTTATCCACACCGCTCTGTCCCTTCTCTGAGAAACACCCTGATCATTTCCTGCTTTTATGAAGCCCCGCCCTCAGAAGTAGGCGATGGGCTCTGATTGGTTAGCTTGCCCAGTGTGTTGTGATTGGCTAAACCGCCTCTAGTGCGAGTCTAAACGTCACGCCCCTCACCTCAGCAGCATGTGCTCCGGTTGTATTGTAAACAAGCCGTCGTTTATATCGCTTATCAGTTTGAGCCCGATTGAGAAGCAGAGGATATTATTGAAGAGGATCGTGCAGAACCTGTGCAAGCACGGCTTTTAATGGTAGGCCTATGTTTTTTGTTTGTTGTTGTCTCATACTTTTAGATATGCTGTTATTTGTAAATGC